GACATTCCTTTTGGGACCTCTCGGGCCTGCAGAGAAAAGAGGTGCTGCACCCACTTTTCTACCTGAATGTAAGAGCACAGGCCTGCCAAGTCCATAGCAAGCGATCGGCGGTTCCACGCAGACCTTAATTTGGCATCGGAGCTGGTTTCACACCTGAGCTCAGCAGGCTTTGATGCTACTCGCATGCGGCCTTCTTGGTCAATGTTAATGGTCTTATCGACCTTCACCGACATCATCTCCTGGGCTCTCGAAACACATCTCTCAGGTCCAACGTATTGCAAGATCTCCGTCTCCAACTGACCCACAAAAAGATCAACCAACCCATTAGCCGGAGTGGTGTCCGGAGTGAAAACCACCCCCGTAAGCCTGGCCTGTTGAGCCTGGGACCTGGCTGCACGCTCGGCTGCAGGTAACCGGCGTACCACATTGTCAGAAGGGGGTTCAACTCGGGCATGAAGATCTGCTATGTTAAGTGAATTGGCCTCGAAGAGAAGTCGTCTAAGACATGAAGTCTGATACGGAGTCGGTGCCTCAGACAAGACGCTTCGGATCCACGTGTCAACTGCTCCATCATCCATCTGCGTCGGATTGGCCGACACAGCAAAGCACAGCTTCCCAAAAGTCGTGTACCCCGCATCAGTCAATTCTCGGAGCACTGATGTGGACACCCCGATCTTCAGCGCTCTCTCCTGGAAGGAAGCTTCCGAATCTAACGATGCAGCCGCCATCTCGAACTAAAGATGTTGATGTTGTCAAAACTCAGTTCATGTGCGAAGTGGTTCATCCTCCGGGAAATTGTTGCCGTGACAAAAGCCAACAAGTCGAAACACATGACTCAGAACTGCAATTCCCTGATATGCTTGAGCACCAGCTGCACAATGATTAACCCAGCTGCTTGCATCGCCTCATCAAGATTCAATGGCAAAGTGCTGGACCGCGACACGAAGGAATCTCCCACGCTGTTGACGCCAAACCTGGCCAGCGTGTCACGGAGGTCCTTCCGCGGGACGATCACGTGTTCTTTTAGAACTCGAGCTCAGCGGGTGTCCAGACAACGTTTGCACTGATGGCAACACTCTGGATTTGCTCCTGCGATCCCTGCCTCCTCTGTGCGAACAAAATTTGAGGACAGGTAACGACCGCACATCAAGCTCGATTCATCTCTCACGACATGTGTAATGCCAGAGATCTTGTGGGTCCAACAAGCTTTAAGATCAACGCCCTCAAAGGGCGATCTTACTCGTGGACCGCCTGGAACATGCAGCCCGTCATCCGGCGCTTCCGACCCTGAACTCAAACTGCCAACCTCAGAATCGGCTCCCTCAGGTTCCGGCGCCACCATGTGTCGAGGCCTCCTTGAAGCCGGAGGTGGTTCATCCATGTCGTTGTCAGGGCTAGCTGGGGCCATTCTCTTCGCAATGGCCTTCATCCTCAAGACAGCCTTCATGTCCGGGTCGAAAACCCCAGATCGGATTGTTTCCAGCATTCCCAAGACCTTCCCGTACAGGGCCACGTACGAGTCTTTACTATAGACCACCACTGATTTGTTCTCCTGGTCCAAGTGGTGACCCAAGAGTCTTCTCTCTGGATGTGTAAAAACCACCGGATGGGATTTTCCAGCCCAAGTCAACAAGGTCCTCTTCATTGAATGTGTTCCCAAATCCAGCATGTCACCATAGTCTTTATTCATGCTTTGAAGAAACTCTCTAAGATAAATGCTCGCCTCTGAAGCCGACATCCTCTGTGACCCCCAGGTTCCCTTCCTCTCACAAAAGGTAGGGAGGAAAGGATCTGACCCCGTGAGTCCCTCCTTCTGACGAGCTTCGATCCATGCCTTTGCCCACGGCTTTCCTGACAGCCCAAGTCCCACCCCAATGTAAGGGAGTAGAGTGGTCTTAGCTTTCGCCGTCAAAGTAGTCTTTGATGTCAAAGCTTCTCCGAAAATCAAAGTCTCGCCCGAGGCCTCATCCACTTCCAGCTCCACATGACGAAGAGTCTGAGAGTCGCGCCATCTCGATCCTGTATGCAGACACCAAACCAGTTGGCCGGCGATGCACGCATGACGACTCGAAGCTCTGATCACAAAAGTTTCCAGATCCTCGACCTGTTCTCGAGTGAGGGCCTTCTTTTGTTTCAGCGGCGCTTTGGAAGAATGCATCGATTGAGCTAAGCCCTTGCACCGGGATGACAAAACGTCCTCCACTGATATGTGCACCAGACTGACAGCAGAATCTAAGAACCGCAGAGCCTCTATCAAATGACTTCCTGAGGTGGCACCAGCCTTCTCTTCAAGCTCGCACATGTACCTGTATAGATGAACCTCTTCAAAACGAAGAGGGGATATTCCTTGCCGCATGCACCAGCTGCCAAACTTGCAAAGTGACCCAGATCTCTTGTGAATCGTACTCGCAGCCTTGGCAGCAAAAGCATGTGAAAAAGACTTCGAGATCTCCTCCTCAGTGGCGAGGTTTTCGACCTCGTTCGACAAGCTCCGCCCCAACTTTGAAGCCAGAGGGTCAATCATCACCAAGGTTCTAATACGCGCCATAGCATGCACTCTAAGATCTTCATCAGACCTTTCTACCCTGAAGTGTCGAAGACGAGACACCACCACCCAGGCCAGCGGGGGTTCAGGATCACTCGCACCCAAAGGTGTATTCAGGGGCGGATTCAGCACATCAGCCAAACCAATGCTAGCCCTGGATCTGTCCAAGAAATCGAAGACCGACTCTGTAGTTGGCATCTTCAAGGAGAAAGGGCCCCTCTCCCAAGGTTGCCGGGGTCTGTTGAGCCTTCTTCTCTTGACATCAAAAAGAAGTGCATCCACCTGCCATGCATTTATTTGAGGATCCACAGAACCAGGGCCCTGGAACCTTACGGCCGGTAACGTAGGCAGAGGCTCATCTTGTACAGAAGGTCTTCCTTGTATCCCTTCATCACCCGAAGCCATGGAACCAACCCCGTCCTCAGGGAAAGGAAGGTCGCCGGGCAGGCCTGCAATTCTAGAAGGAGAATCAGCCAAGACATCCTCAACAGCACGATACCAACTAGCTTCCTCGGCAAAATCTGTGTCGGCCTCGAAGTCTGGGGAAGTCTCGTTCGGTCCGTTCCGAAGCAAACCAAAAGCATCAAAACTTTCTTCAGAACCCCGGTCACCGGGCTCAGAGGGAACCAACACCTGGGTCCCTTCATCGGAGTCACCCCCTCGAAGGGATGAAGTCTGAGGACCCAGGCCGCTCATCTTGTAGGGCAGCGCAAGCCACCAACGTAAAATTCAAGCGGGGGCCAGTGCAAGCAAAAACCAGCTGATCTTCGGTTGTCAAAAAACGAAGCAGCCCAACCGCAATGTGTGGATAGCCCAAAACTCGCAAGTAAATGGACAGATGCAG